TTTGGCCCTAGAAAACATTTGCGATTCCACAGTTATCAAAAAAAAAAAAAAACTAATTCATTTTTTTGTTAAATTGTAAATATTTCATAGATATGAAAAAGTTTTGGTTTACAAAATACATCATAAACCTAGTTTATGATCCCATGACAAAAAATATAAAAACATAGAAGCATATTTCACTAAAGATTTTCAGTCCGTCAATCTCGATACAAGCACATCGACTAGTGGATTCGACGAAGTGATGACGATGATTATTGTTCCCTCCAAAACTGCAAGCCGAGAAGAAGAAGCGCAAGCAAACCGAAGGATCGAAAGAGACAAAACCCGATGCACTAGAAGCCTTTCCGCGGATTCCAAAGTTGAGTCGTCAACGGCAAAGAACTCAAGCCCTCGTTCACATACACCTCTCGCGTACTGTGAGTACGACTCGAGTCACAATCCATGTGCTAATCCAACCAAGAGACTTCCTTGACCAAGAACGAAACCATTACAAGCTCACCCTACCTCGTACACGGACGCTGCGTAGTACAGAGCTACATAACACAATGCGACACATCAATGGAAACAACTTTGCCTTACTAGCTCCTCTAGGTTCCAAGCTTCCTCAAACAAACTTACCGGAGGCACGCTACTAACCGCAACCTTAGCAGGACACAATAAACAACAGGCCGAGGCCCAACCAAAGTAGCTCAAAATATAGAAATGCAGAACAAGGAACCGCTAACAGCCACCACCGGTGGCTTGACGAGACCAAACCTGCATCACCATATGGACTGGAAAATAGGACGACGATCCGACAAAAGGGGAAAGTCTCACACCCGAAGAGCCACAACACCAATCGCCAGAGGCATCTGGAGCTGTCCTCAACAGAAAGACCAAAGGCAATGACCATTTCCTCAAGCCCGAACCACCAAAAGAAGGAATTTCGACAGTCAATCAGCCGACACTGTCTGCACCTAAATCAAAACTGGACAAGACGAAGAGACCAAGGCACCACTAGCCTAAGACGGACCGAAGCCATCACAAAAGCGATGAAGTCGACACACCAAAGACCACCGGAAATCTCTAGCCGCAACCCAGAAGCGACAACAACGAACTTCAGGTGGCGACCGGGGCGAGACCTTCAGGGACCACCGTCGCCTTGAACGGAAGACCTAACAGAGACCAAGCCCAGATCCACCGGAGAAGAAGAGCGTAGCACGACGGGAGCTCCAATCGAATATTGGAGATACGAAACCAAAAAGACGGAGAGACCTTACCACATTAGCGGACGTCGTTCCAGTGCCGCTCGAAGCCAACGCCGGAGTCGTGAGGGAGGAGGGGGATCTACGGAGTAGATCGACGACGGTCGAATATCGTGAGGCGAGAGAAGGGTTCTAGCTGTTCTCCGCAGAGGTCGAGCACCATCGACAAGCAACCCGACACGGCGGAGAGAACTCAAACCTCGAAGAGGCGGCCGTCACGACGTCGTTAATTCTTCCCACTCGTCGTGAAGAACAGAGCAGATCAAACAAATCTCGAAAGAGACAAGTGCCTTAGAACCAAAGAGAACGCAGTGGTGGTGGCCCTCTCACCGCCCCGGACAAAGCCAGAATCGGAGAGGCGAGCGACGGGAGCGGAGAGAAAAAGTTTTGGCCGAGGTTTGAAAAAGAAGTCGTGGAGCGTGAGATTCACGCGCACGATTCCCTGCTTTTTATCCTAAAAAAAAAAAACTAATCGTGAAAAAAAAATATGGATGAACGATTTCATCGGTAAAAAGCGACGAAATGTAATTCTTATTATTCATAAATTAGATGGTTATTCTACACTAATGTTGCTATTTTGTTTTAATGTTTCAAATTTAAAATTTTAATATCATCGGTCTCATCTATTTATAGATGAGTAAAACGACAAAAAAAAACCCATCAGATTAATACTCCATAAGTTAGTGCATAAGATAAGACGACAAAATATACTCTTGATTATACGAAAAGCCGATAAAGGTGATAGGCTCAAGCATGGGGCTGCGTTGAAAATAAACACACCAATTGTAATTTGCTTTTCCTAATAAACAAACATCGGACAAGATATTTTACTAACTGGATGTGTTAACTAAAGGTTAAAAAATTAAGACAAAAGTAGACATAATGATGGGTTATGAATAGTTACTCTGTAATTAAATTATCAGTAGGTGTGTATGTAACCAATTACAAAATATTAAAATATTGTGATTTGTATCCTATATAGCAGAGGTCATTGATAAATGAAGTCTAAGCTATACCTACACTGTCCACCAATTTTGTAATAGTATTAAGTACACAT